GCGTGCAAGCAACGTGGGTTCGGCGCAGCAGGCGGCAAGGGCTGGTTCGGTGCAGCAGCAGGGGCGTAGGGCCACAGGCTGGTGCAGGGGCGAGGCTCGGGCGTGCAGGGGACCTGGGTTCGGGGCGCAGGACGCAGGGCGTGAGGCGCAGGGCGCGGGCTGGTTCGGGGTAAAAAACAAATTTGATGGGGAAAGAGAAGGTTCCAGACACCTTCTTTTTTTTTCTTTTTTTGTTTTTGGGTTTGGGTTAAATGGGTATTGGATTTTGGGCTTGGGTAGTTGGTAGGCTTGGGTTTTTGGATTTTGATTTTGGTTTTTTTGTTTAAGGCTTAAAATTGAAAATGGGTCGAATTGGGCCATTTAAGATGGGTTTAAGGTGTAAATGGGTTTTGGGTTGAACTTTAATGCATTTCACCCTTCAACTTTTCAGTTCTTCAATTGGGTCCCTTCTTTCTTCTTCTTGAATTTTCCCATTTCTTTTTGCATGTAGCACCTAAAAGAAAAATGAAGATGTATTAGTTAAAGAAAAGAGAGAATGTCATATTTTCATATTTTTTTGATTTTTTTAATTAATTTTTGTGATTAATATATATATTTTTTGTTTTTTTTTTCTTTTATATGGAAAGCTTAAATAAACTTAATGAAAAATCGGGTTATGACACCGTCAGATCGACGGGCATGGATGCATCAGCAGCAGCTGCAGGAGAGCGAGCTGGAGTAGACCGAGCTGCGGGCTCAGAGGCTGATGTGCTGACGGGCGAGCTGGCTGGCACCACAGCGGGCTGAGAGTTGGGCAGGGTGCTTGAAGGCTCCTGCTCAGCTACAGGAGCACCCTTTACCCATGCGTCAAAGGAGGGCAGCCCTGTTGGATCCTCCCCGTCCCCAAGGACCTGAGGAGGCCAAACAGGCACTCCCTCCTTGTTGAGGTCCCACCTCAACCATACCGTGGCGTCGACAAAGGGAGCGAGACTCTTCCCTTGCTCGTTCAGGTCTTCCCCGTCAAAGAATGCCAGTTCGCCAATCGGGAAGTCCGGGCGGTGTTGCAGCACCTTCCCACGAATCTCGTTGTAGATCTTCGTGGTTACATTTGCAGATGCCACCGCCACGGCGTCCTGAAACGCAGCCAAACCCACGAACCATTCCGCCCTTGAGCCCGGGCGATGCTGACAGAGCGTGCATGGGAAGTCTTCAGCTTGTTCAACGCCTCCCCGGTAGCAGTAAGGTTCCAGTCTGCCTCAGCGACCTGGTGCCTAAGGGAGCTCAGCTCATGCTGAGCATGGTCCCTGTCGGCCTCAGCCTTCTTCGCCCGTTCCTCGATCCTGGCGGCCTCGTCCTTTGCCACATGGATTCCGCTCTCTTTTTCAGCTCGAGCACGCTCTAACTCCTTCCTGAGCTCATTGTTCCTGTGGGCGAGCTCGTCCGCCCGGATCTCTACAGCCGCAGCTCGGTTTGCCATTTTAGAGCATTGCAGACGATTCACATCGTCCACAAGGCTAGCCTTCTCAGCAGCCAGCTGTTTGCATTTTGAACCGAGCTCGTTGTTCTGTGAACGAGCCTCCTGCTCGCTCTCGTAGAGCACTACAGCGTAGTTGAATGCCTACCAAACAGCAACAATCGTAAGTACCTAGTAAGGAAAAATAAAACACTTAAGCAAGTACGAGCAAATACTTACATCCATCAGTTTGATCATGGCGACCTGGCCACCATGCTGCTGCACAAAAGCTTTTGCCCGCCGACTATCCGCCGGGGGCACAAAACTATGCATGGCTTGCAACATGGCGGGCTGGCACTCCACCCGCACATAACTGAAGCCCTCAAGATAAGCAATCCTAGGGCCCGACATCGAAGCCGATGCAGAGGCGGGCTCTACTACTGCCCGCGCAGTCACTGATGGTGCGTTGGGTGAACGCACGATTGCAGGACAGGCCACCTGTGCGGGCTGAGTCCCCCCGCTTGTTCTGCGCTGAGCAAGGGGGACCTCATCTTCTTCGCTCTCATTCTCCTCGCGTGCACGCCTACATGCACTCCAGGCCGCAGCATCAGCTTTGTGTTCAGCCCGCGGCCTAGATGCCGAGCTGGACCCTCGATGGGACGAGCTGCGCGATTGAGGCGCGGTTGGCGGTCGCTCGTCGAACCGCGTCTGTCTTTGTGTGGTGCTGCCCGGCCCGCGACGCGTGAGCTCTGTGCTCGTAGGCGTTGGCGTTCGAGAATGCTGCTCATTTCTCCTGCACAAAAAATGCATAAGACTCAGCCCGGCTAGAATTCATACCATATGAGAAAAATATACCTTCTGTGAATAGGTTTGCCACGTCGACAAACCCGAACACGGCGAGCAGCTTCGGGGTAACCAGGGCCTCTAGATCTACTAAATTTTCACGTCTCGCGTGCTCTAACAGCCGGTTCTTGAGGTCCGTGTCCCGTGGCAGCAGCTGGGGATAATTCACGTGCGCATTTGGCGTACGCCATTCCGACAGCCGGGCAGCGAGGTCATTGCTTACCTTCTCTGTTCGCGTGTCGCGAACGAAAATGAACTGCCTTTTCCACCGCGCCACTTTATTCCTTACGTTTTTGAAGAGCTGGCTCTTGTTCCTCCCAGAGAGGTAGTACCACTTCGCTCCTTTTGCGTTCGGACACAACGGGCACTGGAACAGCAACCTGAACACTATCGCCTTGGCTGGTACCTCCAGTCTCGCGCACAACAGCATAAAGCCCACAATGAACCTTACGCTGTTGGGCGTCAGCTACGTCAAAGCCAGCTCATAGTCTGCCAGCAGGTCGAATACCAGCCTGGGCAGGGGAAATCGCAGACCGGCGTCAAAATGATATGCATACACAAGTATCCAGCCCGTCTGCGACACTGAGCAAGCCCTCTCGTTCTGCCCGCCAGTTCGCACCAATATTGTCCTGGGGATTTGGTACTCTCTTATCATCTCCTCCAGCCTCTTGTACCCACTTATTGAGGGCGCGCTGTCCGCTACTTCGTGATGAAGCGCCGCCCTGAATCTAAATCCCCCAGATCCTTAGGAGCCTTGCGTATGTTACTCAGTCTGCCCGGGAGTACCTTATTCTCCCATTCTCCAGCCGCGGGCAGACCGTGTTCGTTACCACCTACGTTCTTCGGCTCTTCCTCATGATTTGACGAATCCCCAGAAGGCGAACTGCTAGACGGTGAAGCGTGGTGGCCATCACCATTATCTCCGGCGCTTGAACTGGCGCTGCTCTCCGGCGTCATTGTCTCCGGAAAATCCTGCAGACACGGTGGTACTATCATCGCGATAGGTTCCGCGGCAATCACCCCCTCTTCTTCCTCCCCACCCTGGTTACCCCGTAGCTCTCTCAATTCTTTAAAGAAATCCATTTTTACCTTTTGAATGATGTGCAAAGTGATGACCTTATGCTCTGTTCTTCAAAACCCAAACGTTATGCTGCAGAGAAACTCGTTGAACTTACACAAGCAATGCAATGAAAATGGAAAAGGGAACGGTTACAATAGAGACAACCAAAATGGTCGTGTTAAACGCTGTACGCGTGTCTCTGACGCGCCAATAGGTGTCTCACACGCGGTAGGCGTTTAACCGCCTTTTGCATAACATGTGCCGCCTCTGGCTGTCACGTTCCTCAAACGCTGCGCCAGCATTTATGGCAAGGAAGGTAAAGAGATACGGAAGAGCAAGCGTATCTCCTCAGAGATCTGGTCAAAGACGGTTGATTCAAAAATCTCCCAAGATTCAGATCGGCCAAGACTCAGGTCGGGCAAACGTATCTCCTCAGAGATCTGGTCAGATCGTGACACGTTTTATTTGGTCGCTACATGAAGGCCAGCTCGTCCAAGGTCACAAATTGGCACTGCCTATTCAGCCATCTCAAATCGTTCTGCAGGTGAGGTCGTCTCATCCCAAGCAGTCCACATTTACCGGGTCGTCACGAAAGTGACTGCTTGTCCAACGTCGCAAATCGTTTGCTATAATTCAGATCGTAGCAGGTTGATCTGTTTCTTTTCACAATCCATCCCAGCCCGTCACGGTATCCAAATTTATTAGCTCGATTACATGCGTGGCAGCTCATGAAAGATCTTAGACGTAATCAAGTCTCAGATCGTTCTGGGGGAGAGGCCGCTCCTTCTCAGCTCGTCATTATGACTGACCGACAACATCATCCAGTCGCTTCAGTATCTTTGGTAGTAGTCATGGATCAGGTCGTTATACGTTCCCTTACTCGTCGAAATAGCGAGTAGCACCTTGTACACATGACTATTCACTGGGCGAGCTCATCTGTCCTGAGCCACTTCAGATCGCTGTTATAACAGGCCCGCACTAATATGGTTATAGATGCTTTCAGCTCGCCTGCACACTCTCAGCCTCGCGAGCTCGCCCCTTTTCGTACAACCCTTAACTCGGCCGTCATCCAGGTCGGCCACAAGTTGTTAAAGCTCTGCCATTGTCACTACTTAGGGCGCGAGCCCACAGACACCCCTAGCCCAGTTCGTCAACCGAACGCCGGAGGGGGAGTAATGTTGGAATAGGCCCAACATCCAAATAGGGTTGCGCATAACGGGCCTAGGTGGCCATCCTTCAGCCCAAGCTAAAAGGGGCACCGTACCAGCACGCTCAAGTAACCAGCACCACGTGGTCCAATGTGATGCTCACATGTACAGGTGCAGGTCAACACTTGGGGGTTATAAATACCCCCCAACTACCTCCTAGGAAGGTAATTAATCTCTACGCTCCTCTCTCTGCAATTACTCCTTGAGAGCATCTCTCTCTAGAATATTGAGTATTGCTGACTTGAGCGTCGAAGTGTTTTCCCCGAGGAAACAACCTCGGGATTTTCAGGTGTAGGAGCAGCTAAGGATTTCAACGGTGTTGGACTGCGAAGCTGCCCAAACAATATCCAATTAATCGGATAATTAATGACGGCAAACAAACTGCTCTCCATATTGCAGTTTTAGCTGGTGCTGTAGAGATTGCTGAGGAATTGATCAAGAGAATGTCAGAAACAGACTTGGAAATACAAGATAGGGATGGTTGCCCGGCTCTTTACTTTGCTGCTCGTAGTGGGAAGAAGATAGCAGAATGCTTGGTTGAAAAGAACCCGACATTACCAACTATTCCCAATAAGGAAGGATATATCCCCGTTGTATGGGCATGTGCTTGTGGAGATAAGAATGTGACCGAGTATCTGTATTCTAAGACCCCTAAAGAATCCCTAAGCCCAGATGTTGGCAAAAATGGGCCTCGTCTCCTCAATTATACCATAAGTGGCAAAATGTTTGGTAAAAATTAGCAAAACTTCATTCATCCCAAGTTCATTGGAATTCCTGCCATATATGATACATGATCTGCTTGTCAGTGTGGTTTTGTCTAATTAATATTTTTGTGTTGAGAAAGCAGATATCTCATTGGATTTACTTCGGGACTATCCAAGCTTGGCCGTCACCAAAGACAGCAGCCACAGTACTCCGATTCTGACATTGTCTGATGAACCATCTGCATTCTTTAGTGGAAGTGGTCTTGGATTTTGGCAACGTTTAATTTATCATCGTAAGTATTAGCTCCAGTTTCTATTTTATTAATTTTCAATTTCATTGTTTGGCATTGTTAATTGATTTTATCTTTAATCCACTGTTATTGAAGGTCTAAAGATAAACAAACACAGTTTCTCTAATGATGTTCGACTTCCTGTTACTCACCAAGATCAGAATGAAAAGAAAAACATCAAAATGCAGGGTATTTACCTTCAATGCAACTTATCAAAGACACCCTTTTAGAAAAAGAGAAAAACTATTATAGTTGGATACTATTCTTTCTCTATGCAGCGTTTTTTGGACTTCATGCATTGGACTTAATGCTTCTAAAGTTCTCTGGTATGCTGCTTCCACTCAACTAAACCTCTATTTTCCTTGGCTCTAGTAAATTTTTAACTAATCTTTTTTCACTTATGTTGTTGATTCTTGATATAGGAATCAAGCAAATTTATGATTTGAAGTTGATCCATACACGTTCGCTTGAGGTTCTAAAATGATGTGTAAACACATAACAGCTTTGGATATCGAAGAATGTGCAGCAGGTCAAGTGTTTGCTGCTTTATTTCAAGCTACCAAGAATGGCATGGCAGAGTTTGTGGTTGAAATGTTGGAAGCCAGACCAAATAGTTTTTATAAAGATAAAAATCAAAGAAGCATTCTCATGTGTGCAGTTGAATATCGTCAAGAAAAAATTTTCAGCATCTTTTGTAGCGTTCATGCATGGAAGTACCGTTTGTATAGTACTACTGATAATCGGGGTAATAATTGCTTACATATAGCAGGGATGCTAGCCCCTGACTTTCAATTAGCTCGCATTTCTGGAGCAGCCCTACAAATGCAAAGAGAACTACAGTGGTTCAAGGTCACTCCTCTCTCTCACTTCATATCTATATTTTACTTAAATCATATTATCAGCTCATGTTTAATTACTTAACATTAGTATGATGAAATGAATGTAATGCAGGAGGTTCAAAGTATTGTTCCAGAGTCATGTAAAAAAGCTAGAAATAAAGATGGTGAAACTCCTAGTGATGTATTTACTAAGAGCCACAAGGAATTGGCAAAACAAGGGGAGAAATGGATGAAAGCCACAGCGAGTTCTTCTAGTGTTGTTGGCTCTCTCATAATTACCATCATGTTTGCTGCAATTTTAACTGTTCCTGGTGGTAACAATCAGGAAACTGGCGTTCCCATTTTCTTGCGTAAAAAATCATTCATGGTATTCTTGATATCAGATGCAATTTCCCTCTTCACTGCATCCATCTCAGTGTTGATGTTTCTGGGAATCCTCACATCACGTTATGCCGAGGAAGACTTTTACAAGTCCTTACCTCAGAAGTTGATTTTGGGCCTTTCAACACTCTTCATCTCTATAGCAACAATGATGGTAACATTTTCTTCTGCTCTTATAATTATGGTACAAGGCCGTCGGTCAGTAATTCTTCCAATAATTCTGCTAGCTGCTCTTCCTGTCACTCTTTTTATGTGGCTGCAATTTCCGCTCCTTGTTGAAATTTTTATTTCAACCTATAGACCAGGAATCCTTGTTAAGACAAAGAAGCAGTGGCATTAGCACAGTAAATGTGTCCAATTTGCTCATCATGTAATCTTC